AAAATAGATTTAATTAAAAGAGATAAACAAGAAAACTACATTATGTTAAAAGGTACCATAGATAATGAAGTAATATCAGTACTAAACATATATGCACCAAATGCCATAATATCCAGATTTTTAAAGGGAAATATAAATGAATAGAAATAATTGTGGGGGGATTCAACCTTCTCTTCTCAGCTAGATAAATCTAACAAAAAAGAAAAAAGAAACAAATGAAGGAAATGAATAGAATCTTAAACTAGATATGATAGACATCTAAAGAGAATTGAATGGGAATAGAAAGACTTGCACAAAATAATGAAGAGTGATATGAGAAGAACCAGGAGAACATTGTATATAGTAATAGCAATATTATTCTCAGAGTAACTATGAATGACTAAGCTATTCTGAGTAGCATTAATATTTAAATCAACTACAAAGGACCTATGGAGGAAGATGCTATACACTTGCAGAAAAAGAATGGTTTTGTATGGTTCGTGTGGTTTCATATATATAATATATCTATATCTATATATCTATGTCAAATGTTGGCCTCTAGTGTGAGGTTGGGGGAGAGGGAGAGAGACAGCTTGGAATTCAAAATGTAACCATAAAAAAAACCTTAATAAACACCTAAAAAAAGGAAAAGCAACTTTGAAAAATTAAGAACATTTTATCATTGTAACGATCAACCATGATTCCAGAGGATTTATGATGATGCATGCTGACCACTCCCTGATAGAGAGGTAACAGACTTAACACATAGAAAGTGACATAATATTTTTGGACACAGATTTTCAAGAATTAATTTTACTTGACTGTATATTTGTCATGAGGGTTTGGATTTTATTTATTTTTGGTGGGGATGGGTTGGGAGGAATAAAAAATAAATGCTCGTAAATTTTTAAAAAGGTTGTTTTTTTTTTAAAGAAAGAACAAATAGTCAGTAGGCTTAATTATCATTTAGCAAAGGCATTGACTCAAATACCATAGCAAGAAGAGTAGTTATAAAATCATGCCCCAATAACACAGGGCTCACTCTTCCACAAGTACACACAGCTTTGTTAGGAAAAATGTTCTTAAACTCAGAGCACAAAACGGTAACGCACATTTATTGTACATATGATTGGCCAAGGGTAACTCACAGGTCCTCAAATTTTGAAGTCTGGAATTTCTTCCTTTCCCTCAGATCTTAAGTATGTAATCATGCAATTCACAGCTGGCTGTGGCATCTGGGCAGGATGGGTCTCTCTTCTAGGAGGCTATCCTCTATGATGAAAAAGCTTTCCCTTCCATCAGCCCCCACCACTCTGGTGCATGTTCCTGCCAGCACAGTCACAGACCTCCAGACCCCTAAGGTCACCTCCAAGTCTGGACTACATCTTGAGGTTGCTGAGGAATCACCTACTCAGGAAAGGAAACACACAAGGGGAAAAGGAAGTCAGGAACCCAGGCACCAATTCACTTACTTGACCCTCTGCATTAGCTGCCCCTTGGGCATAGTTGTTATGATGCTGGCCTCAAGAAAGGGGAGCCCATCCCCAGTCCCTCAGGAAGTTTTGAAGCTATATGATACCACAGGGAGAGTCAAAAAAGGCTGAGCTAGAACCTATCTCTTCTTTTAATTAATGTAGAGTTCCACTTCCCATGCCGCTGTCACAGTGGGAGGACCATGGGGTCACTCAGGCTTGTTACACTGTACCAAAACAACAAGTCCTCCTAGAAACGGGTTACCACATGGATGGAAGCAGGCCCCAAAACTTCCAGATGGTTTAATAGAACCAGAAAGGGCAACTCTGAACACGTTCCCTCAATACACTATGCAATACAAAAAGGAACTCATTATCTTTTGCTGCAAGACCAGACTTCTTCCTAATGTCATAGTTTCTGTTGAGGGTTCATTGCCCTCCTTTAGTCACTAGAGCTTGTGACTTACCCTAAACCTTGGAACCACATTTAACTCTTCATTCTTTTTCACTCTACTACCCATAGCCAATAAATACTTTTTCAAGTCTTGCTGATTCTGCCTCTGTATACATCCTCTGTATTCAGTCACCACCATCATCTCTTGTCTGGACTCAGTACTGTCCTCTCAATTGGTCTCTCTGCCTCTAATCTTTCCCCGTGCCAATATAAACTTTATATAGTTGTCAAATCAATATTGTTAATGTAGAGCCTGACCATGTTACTCTCCTGCTTGAGAAATTCCAGGGGCTCCATATAGTCTCTAGAATCAAATGCAACTCTTCTGTTTGACATTTAAAATCCTTCACAGTCTGGCTCTAATCTATATATCCAAATTGATTTCACATTACTTCCCCTTGCAAACTCCACATCCTGGCCAAACTCAGCCATTTGGGCCATTCCCCATACATAACATAATGGAGCAGTTAGGTGGCCTAATTGGCAGAGGTCTGGACCTAGAATTAGGAAAAGCTGAATTCAAATCCTGTCTCAGATACTTACTAGTTGTGTCATCCTGGGAAAGTCACTTAAGCTGAATTTCCTCATCTGAAAAATGTACAGATAATAATAAGCACCTACTGCACAGAGATGTTGTGAGGATCAAATGAGATAATAAATGAGGTATCTTCTGTTTTTGTGGCTTTGTGTAAGCTGGCACCCATGCCTAGAATATATTCCCTTCTCACTTTCCTCTCCCAGAATATTTAGCTTTTGCTGAGTCTCAGCTCAAGTGCCATCCCCTACACCAGCACTTCTTAAACTGTGGGTCACGACCTCATATGGGGTTGTATGACTGAATGTGGGGGTCATGAAAAATATGGCAACAGTAAAAGGTTTCTGAATGCTCAATGACCCAAAATTAATTCAAAATCAAATTTGTAGTGAATCTGAGGTGTTTCTGGCAGTGCTTGGTTCTGAACACACAACATGTGCACTTTGCACTGCACATACCGTCACTCCATGCAACGCCAACAAATGCTGCCAGAAGCACCTCGGCTCAGATTTGAGACTATTGTATGTCATGAATTGCAGTGTTTTTATTGTACATACAAAATCATTCAGTGAATTTTGGCTTGGGATTACGACAGAATTTCCAACAATTTCTGAAATGGCCCTAAACATACTTCTGCCATTTTGTACTATGTATTTATGCAAAGCAGCATTCTCAGCATTGACGATTATAAAATCAAAATATCAGTCAACTCTGAAAAATGTTGAAGATGCTCTATGTCCTGCAGTATCAAATATTCTGCAAAGATTTAATCTTTATGTAAAAATAAATAAGCACATTCATCTCATTAGTGTGTAAATTTGCTTTCAACTTCAATAAATGGTAAAATTATATGTATACCAAAGAATGGTTTTAAAATAAATTTCTTTATGATTTATTATCAGTAAATGTTTGATTTGTATACCTGTTTTATATACCTATATACCTGGGTTGCACAAAAATTTCTCCAGCATAAAGGGGGCCTCAGTGTAAAAAGTTTAAGAAGCCCTGCCCTACACAAGGTTCTTCAGGATACCCCTACCCCATAGAATAAATAACTTTATTCTGATTTATCTGCACATATACTATTTCCCTCTAGCATAATGTACATGCCTTGAAGACTTGGACTATGTAACTTAGCTTAGCACTGAGTATGATGCTTAGCACCTAGTAAGCACTTAATAAATATTCACTGATTGATTAATATTTGTCTTCAGAGTCTATTAATATTAATAGCTTTCCCTCAAAACTTTAGCCCATGTTGATCCCTTCCTGTTGTGAGCTCTCATTTACAATGTTAGTTATTGTTGTTATTACTATTATAGTAGAAAAAAAAAGAACTTAGCTCTTCGTTGTTAACGGTATTTGTTTCATGTCCTTATCATCAGTTGTCATCAAGAACAAAAGTTCATTAGGGCCCACATTAGACTGTGAGTTCCTTGAGAGTGGGGGACTGTTTCTTTTCTGTTTACCCCTGAGCTGAGCAGTTTCTGCCAGGGTAGGTGCTGAATAAATGCTTGCTGACCTACCATTTCACTATGCCTATGGTACTGTCCTGGGTGCTGAAGTATCAGTTTTTGTTTTTTGAAAGGCATCCAACAGTTCCTCCAGTACCAAAATATCTCTCCCAAGTCCTGTAGCAGCGCCTTCGATTGTATTTTTAGAGATAAACACTCCTTTGGTTCCAAAAAGCATAATAATAGCTAGCATTGTTATAGTCCTTTATAGTTTGTAAAGCGCTTCATCAATACTATCTCATTCTCACAATAACCCTGAAATGGAAACGTAGGTGCTATTATCACCCCCGTTTTACAGAAGAAATTGAGGCAGAAAGAAATTAAATGATTTGCTCAAGGTCACACAGCTAGTAAGAGTCAGATAACGAATTTGAACTCAGATCTCTCCTGACTCCAGGTCCAACGTTTTACCCAATGAGTCAACCAGGTTCCTCTAAAAACATAAATTCCGTTAGTTGACAGGTTCCCCAGACCAAAGTCCTTGTTAAACATTTCTGAAGAAGTATCCAACACCAAGTATTCAGACTTCACAATTTTGCTTAGGGCAGGCCTTTAACGTCACACAGTGTGGGTGACATCATGGCGTACGTTCAATTGAAGCGTTAAAGAGTCTGCCCTTGCTCTATTTGCCCACGGTTTCGCCCCGCCCCCTCCCCTCCCTTCGGTCAAAGAGTACTACAAATCCCAAGATGCCTTTCGTTTAGGGTGCGTGCGCATTCCGCCCGTCTTTTCTTCGCTACCCTCCCCCCCACCCCTTTCAGTTGCCTGGTAAACCCCTCCCAGCTCGGCCGTCGCGAACGGTGGAAGCGGCGGAAGAAGATGGCGCTGACCAGGTGGGTTGTGGGGAGTATGGGGGAGGGGGGCATCTTCGTTACGGAAGAGATTCAGTTCGCTTTTGCCTTTTTATTCCTCAGCTTCCACACTCTGGGGAGGGTGTCGGTCGGGGGAGTATCGACGCCTTGGGGCAAAGCTGTGGGCCGGGACTTCCCGTTAGCTGCGGAGTCAACCAGGCCTTCCCGGAACTGGGGCCTTTCCTGAACACTTACCCCTGCCTCGGGCCGCCTCTAGTCAGGGCTGCCGAGATCGGCGTGGCTAACCCTTCCTTGCCTTAGCTGGTCGCTTGAATTTTTCTTGTTTCGGGGGGCGAAGTTATGAAGAGGTCTTCACAACCGTGGAGGGAGTTGGAAGTGGGGGGTAGGGGTTAAAAAGGTGGGGGCCGGGAGGGGGGGGGTATGGTTATTTGTGTGGGAGGAAGAAGGTGGAAAGTGGGGGGGGGGGCGGAGAAGAGCTTCCAGCTAGTGTCTGCTTCCTTATTGTCTGTACTTTCTCGGAAAACAAAGATAAACACGTCCACCTAGCGAGCTCTGCATTGGGGGTGAGGGGGCGTATAGACGTTGGTCAGTCCTTTTCACTGGTAGAAGAGAACCCTCCTCCCCTGATTCTTGCTTCTTCCCGTTGTCTTGGAAGCTATGTATGAAGGCGGCCCTCGATTTCCAGTGAATGATCATTACTGCATATTGAGCCAAAAAAAATTACATAACTTAGACTAATCCCTAAAACAGGTGCTTAGTAAATAGAAAAAATTTTGACTTAAAACAAAAAAAAAGCACCTAGGGGCAAGAAAAGTGGAGACTCGAGGAGAGACTCTGGAAAGTCAAACAATAAACATTTATTAAGCTCCTGCTATGTTCCAGGCACACTGCTGAGCACTGAGAATACAAAAAGAAACAAAAGGACAGTTGCTGCTCTCAAGAAGCTTACAATCTAATGTCATTGTTATCCTTAGCTTGTGCCCCTTTCCTACTTTTCCTACATAACTCATTTAGAAAGTCATCATTCTGAACAGACCATAACAGTGAATCTTGGAAGAAACAAGTATCATTACATGCCTAGCACCATGTGTTACCTGGTGTGGTGTATAGAGAAGGAAGATTAAGAGGTGAACCCTGGTCTACAATCATCTTTCAATCTACTGACAAAATGTAGACATACAAAGCAATTAAACTGTAATGTAATGCAGACTTTTGTGGGCAGGGAGTGAGAAGTACCAAAGAAGATAGAAAATGGGAAGTTAGGTAAGGAAAGGCTTCACTGAGGAAGTAGGACTTGAGCTAGATCTTGTGGAAAGGGTGGTATGTATGTAAACATACACACCCCCATATATATAAATATATACATACATACATACATACAAGGGAAATACTGGTAGTAACAATATCAACACTAGCTTAATTTTAAGGTTGACCAGTAGTTCTTAGGTTTTCATTGAATTACTTCTTGCTAACTTTATGAAGCGTGCAAAGTTTAAATCTTGAACTGTTTAAAATTGAAACTGTTACCCTGGGCATTGGTTTGTTTGCTTTATCTTTTAAGCATTTTACTTCTTGGCTTTTTCCTCTGTTCATTTGCATTTTCCAAAGGGTACAACACTTCACAATGTCCATAGGACTTCTTGTTGGTAGCTCCAGTAGAAATTTTTTGGGGAAGACTGACATAACTTCTTTTGATCTATGCTATATTAGCATGCAGAAACAAGAGTTGGGCTCTCTCTGTCAAAGACAGAATTACTTTTCTGATGCTAACATTTTGTTTAATGCAGTGATTGACTTTTCCTTTTATTCTTGGTTGACTAGTGTATTTGGGGGACTCATTTAGCCTTTTATACAGTGAATGTCAAGGGTTTTGTTCCATGTGCTATAATTTATTTTCAGTATAAATGCATTGGACCTTTTTGCTTGATAACTTAACATTTATTATGATCGGTACACTGGAAGTATAAATAGTCAAAAGAAAATTCAAATTGGCACTACTTCTATTTCTTAAAGGTTAATAACTTTTCAGAAAATCAACCTTTTTCTTATTACTTAGGATTATATACATTAATTCTTGGATTGATCAGGATTAGAAAAGGATTCTTAAATGTACTTTTTTTTTCCTCTAGTTGCCCATTCCCTGTCCCTTTCATTCCTTTAGGTTTCAACTTCTCTTCCTGTTTCTACTTATCCTTTAATATTGGCACTATAATGATTAAAAAGTAAGGGAACAAAAGGAAAATCCTCTGAATGACTGAGGGTTTACTCTCAGTTTATAAGAGATTCACAAACATAGCACTTTAGCTCTTGGGCTATGCTGTGACTGCCCTCGTTATAGAACTCATCTCATTTGCCTTTAGTCAAAAATTCTTGATTCTATGAATGAGCACTTCATTATTACCTAGGATACAAAATGACTGGTATTGGCACTTCTGAAGAGCAGTAGAAATTCTCCCTCTTCGTGAAATTAACAAGAAAAATTTTATTCTCATTATTGATTTGCATGACATGTAGTATTTTTATTTGTTTTGTAACTTTTCTCCTTATCCTTGATTTTGTAGTTTTTTACCTGCTCCAACTCAGCTTTCTCAGGACCAGCTTGAGGCTGAGGAAAGGGCAAGATCACAGAGATCAAGGCAGACTGCACTGGTCTCATCAAGAAGAGAACCTCCCCCTTACGGATATCGAAAAGGTTGGATACCTCGTTTATTAGAGGTAAATATTAGCCTTCATTTTGAATTTTTTAAATTGATCAGGGTTGCTATAAAATTAGTAAGTCTAAACCATGAAGTTCTCTAGCATCTAAGATCTTCAATACTGTTTCTAAATATAGTTGTCTAAAATCACTTTGGTAAACTAATAATGTTTTACCTTTTGGAAAGTGCAAATGAATAGGGAAATGGCCAAGAAATAGAATGCTTAAAAGATAGAGAAAACAAACCAAATGACCAATTCCTAGGGAAATAGGAGTGCCTAACACTTCTCACAAAAGGTATCAGCTTGAGTAATGGCAGGAATCGATTCCATCACAGTTCCAAAAATGTTTGTACATGCAAAAAAATTTTTTTAATTTGAGTAGGGTAGAGAAGTAGCTCTGGAAGACACTGCAAGTATTAGGGAAAAATGAGTTAGAGTATAAGATATTTGAGAGACACAGGACATTACAGCTAATCAAGTCCAACCCCTTCATTGGAAAAATAAGGAAATTGAGGTACAGAGGGCATTGTCTATAGTGGAAACATAGTCTGAGCTTCCAATTTTCTCATCTGGAAAATGGGGGTGATAACGTTTACACTTTTTATTTTTAGATTGTGTGGAGAACACTATGTAAATCTTACAGTGTTAATAAATATAAATCATTATTCAGGAATCTTTAACATGTTTTAAAAAATTGTGTCCTTCCAGTGGAATAAACCCTTTGAGAGCAACGTTGTTTTTTTATTTTGTCTTTGTATCACTAATACTTAGCATAATTTCTTCAATATAGTAGGGACTTAATGTATGATTGTTGAATTGTTGGTGTGAATACTCTTCATATTGTACAGATTGCCTCCACTCTCTTCAGTCTTTGAAAGCTGATTAATTTTTATTAGAACGCCTTGTGACCAGTCTGCTGGTGAAACTGTTTAAACTTAGCTTGACTGCTTGTCAGGCAATACACATATTGTAAATTACTTTACCAGTGCTTGGAGTTTGCAGTTCTTTGCCACTACTAAAAGATCTGTAACAAGTATTTTTGAATGTATGGGTTCATTTACTCTTTCTTTGATCTCTTAGGAGCATAGACCTCTAGTAGTGGTATGACTGAGTCAAAGGGTATATATTGCTTAATAAATTTTGAGGCATAGTTCCAGATGGTCTTTGCACAATGAGTGGACCAGCTCACAGCTCCACCAGCAGTACATTAATATATCTCTTTTTCCACAGCTCCTTTAGTATTTGTCATTTTCCATTTTTTAATCACCTTTGCCAGTCTGGTGGATGCAATGGGTGTGGAACCTCAGAGTTGCTTTAATTTGTATTCTGTAATTATAAATTATCTGGAGCCTTTTTTCCACATGGCTATTGATCGCATTGTTTTCTTCCTCTGAAAACTGCTTGTTTGTATCATTTGGCCATTGATCAATTGGAGCCCTTTTTCTTAAAAATTTTGATTAGTTCTTTATATACCTTAGAAATGAAACCTTTAACAAAAAAAAAATGCTGCAAAGATTCACCCCCTCTCCAGCCCCCAGTTACCTCCTTCTCTTCTCTAATTTTAGCCACATTGATTTGGTTTGTACAGAAACTTTTTTATTTTATGTAATTAGGATTTTCCATGTTTGGTCCCTTGTTTGGTCATGAGTTCTTCACCTGTCCATAAATGTAAATGGTAATCCTTGCTCCTGTAATTTATTTATGATGTAGTCATTTATTTCTAAATCATGTACCTATTTGGGGCTTATTTTGGTTTTGGTGTGAGATTGTGGTCTATACTTAGTATCTACCAGACTGCTTTCTAGTTTCCCCAGAAGTTTTTGTTGAATGAGTGAATTCTTACCTTAATAGCCTGGTCTTTGGGTTTATCTAACACTAGGCTTCTTTAGCAAGCACCATTTTATGTAAAATCAGGGAGTGCAGCTTTCTTGCATTTCATATTTTATGTAGTTAAAAAGGAATCTACACTTAGCTTCATGGCACAGTTGAATTTTTAAAAATCTTATTTTAATAGCTAAGATTTCATAAAGCTAGGTAGAACAGAATAGGTTTTGAAAAGTCTAAATTGGCCTGTTAATCTGAAAATGCCATGGGCACTTTTCCAGAAGAGTGAATGTTTGGAGAAAAAAAGCATCTGCTTCTAATTTTCAAAATAAAAGCTGTGATTTTCTGGCAGGTTTAATGACCACATAATTCCACAGTCACAGTCCTGAATGTTGATTATAGTGGGAAAAAAAACAACACGATTCTGAGTATGTGTCAAATTGTCAGCAAGAGTACAAGCAGCAGCTTTCTTGGTATACTTTAACTGTTTCTGTCCAATTCAGGGTGAAATGTATTTCATTTAGCATTCTTCAGTTTGTTTTCAAAATGTTAAAATTCTTTACAGCAGTATTAGCATACAATTCAGAGAAGTCACTTATCCTGCATTTTAATACAATTGTTTTCAAGAACTAGATACTTCAAAAGTAGCAGTCTTCTAAAAAAATTTTTATTGATATCTTTTGTTTTTACATTTCCCAAATGATCCTTCCCTCTCCCTCCTGAGAGTCATCCCTTATAATAAATAATACAAAAATACAAGAGAGAAACTGTAGCAAAATTGACTATAAAATACATCAACTAAGCTAGACATTGTTTGTTGCAGTCTCACCTCTGCA